GGCGCTGCCGGGGGTGGCGAGGGGAGCTCGGGTCTGAGAGAAACGGCGCCGCAGCGCAGGGCTGCGGCACGCCAACCCGTGCGCGGCGTCGAGCCGGGCTGTCCCTTGCCGGCGTGCGTCGGGGCCAGCAGCCTGCGGGGAGCTGCGGGGCCCGAGGGGCCGGGGGAAGCCCGGGCTGCCAGGGCCCTGTAGAAGCTGGACGTTTCTTCGAGAATAACAGGTCTCAAAAAGCCAAAGCAGTGAAGCGAACGCTCTCTGGTTTCACACCCACCCCTCTTGGCTTGAAGCGGGGGTAGTCTGGCCGTTTTGTTAAAGTAGACGAGATTAAGACTTTATTGTGCAGTAATGTGTTCTTAAACACCGGTGACACTATATTAAGCAGGTTGTATCTTTGAGAAAATGGTGATACATCATTTTACAGATAAACTGTAAGTGTGTTTTAAGTGTTTAAAGTGTGTTAAGTCATTATGTTCAGTATGTTATTTTAGCATGAAGTTGGTTGAGTAGGTTTTTCTACCAAACAAATTTTCTACCACTAAATCATAAAATACTTACTAGTATTGGTTCTTCTAGCAGTGAAATGTGTAGACAGCTCAAAGGAGAATTTACCATAATTGGTAGATTCAGAAGGAAAAGTTTTCAGAGCTTTATCTGTTCATCATATTTTGTTGGAACTTTTCATACTTTTTTTCTTCACTTGGTAAATGTTTAATTTAAAAATCAAAGGCTTCTGTTAACCGTTTTCTCAAGAGTTTTGGAAAAAAAATAGATGTACAAGCCTTAGAAGTAAACTGAGTCAACATGTAATGTCTATTTCTGTGGAAAATATTAAACTCTTCTCCTTTATTTGAAGCTTTTTACTTTATTTTTCAGGCTGTGGCTTCACTGCCTGAAGATATGAGACCTGGTGCTGATCTGTATGGTTTCCCATGGGAGATAGTGATTTGTGCTGGCGTTGTTGGAGCCCTTACAATTCTCTCATTCCTGTATAGAAGTTACCGATCAGTAAGTATTCAAAATACATGTAGATATGTAGAGTGCATTAATTATTTGAATTGAATGGTTTGACTTGAAATTGTTATTCTGTTCAAGGTATGTAATGCTTCAGAGTTTTAAATCTGTTGTGATTGAATTTAGAATTCCTCCAAAATAAGTTGAGAAGTAGTCTGGTTTTCTTAAGCCACTAAGTGTTTGGACATGTACCGAGTGACTATTGTGATTAGAGGAAACGTAATGAGACTAGCTATAGTAAGGCTTTCTTTTTCCATCCCTTTTTAACTTCTACACCAGACTTTCAAAGTCAGCCCTTAAATTGTTTTCATGGGATATAGAGGCCTTCCCTAGGGCGTATGTGTGTTGGTACCTCTGTGACTACACTGGCTATAGCCAGACCAGTTCATGTCCGTCAAAGTAACAGTAAGCAAAAGCAATCCAGATGGATTCCCATCAAGGGAGACATTTTAAAACTCCTTGGACAATGGCCTTGATTCTGTTTATTGGAACACTGAACCAATTTTACTGTGTGCTCTTTGTGAGCACTAAGCTGATGACTTTGAGAAATACAGTAGTGAAACCTTTTAATGCACAAATCAGATTATATTTTTGAGGTAAGAGTTGCCTTCTATTGTGAGTAAGTAAGGATCTGAGTAATAACAGCAGTAATAACTGCCATACTCTCCCTGCTAATGAAATGGAGTCAGCGTGCATAGTTCAGTATTCTAAATTTCTGCTCAGTTTTTGCATACTCTTAAAAAGACAGAATGTGATTTTGGTGCTAGTTGTAACGATGCTCACGTTTGAAGATAGGTTGCATAGCAGTTTAGTTTTTCAGATATGAGCAACTGCATTTTTAGCGTTCTAATGTCAACCTAGATCTGGAAGAATGCCGCCTTATTCTGCAGCAGTGATTCAGACTGTCTGGAAGAGGATCTGTATTTGTATAAGCTAATGTATCTATAATTCAGATCATTCCTTCTGTTTTCTAGCAGCATCCCTCTAGGGGGTATGAAAGAGGCGTTTCAGCTGAAATCCATCAAGCAGCAACCCTAGTATTGTTTTCCTCCTGCACATGTCACTAAGGCATTATATATTACAGGAGTAATTGATAGCTTTTTCAGTCATCCATACTCAGAACTGCACTAACTGCTTTTTCACGAATTAGTGATTACTTACTCAAAAGTAGTGGGGTTTGGTTTGTTTTTTGGGGGGGGATGACAGGATAAGGTGTGCTTATGACTTTATTGATAGGACGTGGGGTAATGATTTCAAACTGAAAGAGGGTAGATTTAGATTAGATATTAGGAAGTAGTTCTTCACTGTGAGGGTCGTGAGGCACTGAGCAGGTTGCCCAGAGAAGCTGTGGCTGCCCCTCCCTGGCAGTGTTTAAGGCCAGGTTGGATGGGGCTTGGAGCACCCTAGTCTAGTAGAAAGTGTCCCTGCCCATGGCAGGGGGGTGGAACTGGATGGTCTTTAAGGTCCCTTCCAACCCAAACCATTCCATGGTTCTGTGATTCCCCTTTTTCTGTCGCTTGGGCTCCTTGACCATCCCATGGCCTTTGAATGAGGAGAAAACAGGGAAGATCTGAGGGACCCATTGTATGTTAGGCACATGATCCTGGCCCAGCCTTGAGAGGAATGCTGTGTTGTAAAGTTTTTGTGGGTTCAGCCAAGTTCTGCATCTCTTGTCCAGGCCATTGACAGATTTTGTTACACTGTTTGTTAGATTTTGATTCTAGGGCACTAGACCCCCACGTGGCAGCTGCTGATTTGGCACCTTTTGCTGAATTGCATCTGGGCAGGATGCCCATCAAGTAGTACCCTTCCTGCAGCTCTAACTGTTATATATTATATGTAACATATACATATTCACATGAGGGGTTTTTTCCTCATGGGAAATTGTCTGAGCTTCCCCCTCTCTCCTTTCCTACTCTTTTGGCTGTGCAAGTCCACTACCATTTTGTGTTGGAAGTCGTGGTTATGTGATGACTATACAGAGGTGTGTTATTAAAGTGATCCAAGTGAAAACTAACCTACTTCCCCTCTTCTTTCTGGTAGATTATAGTGGGAGAAGGACAGGCCAAACACAAAGCCATGGAGGGGATAAAAGCAGAGGGTGCAATTGTCCATTTTTGACAGCAGCTTGTTTTAAGTTCCATGGAACCACAGCTTAAAAGATTAGTTTTCAGATACTATGCAAGAGTAATTGATCAGACATTTTCAGTATTTATTCTTTTTATTTCAGGTTAGAAGTCGACTTTATATAGGTAAGCTTATTTTTCATATTGTTTCTTTGGAATATGACTTTCTTTTCCCCTTCTTTTTTCTTTTCTTTTTTTTTTTTTTTCTCCTTTTAGGTACTTAGATGTTGCAACATTTAACTGTCTGTCTGTTTTTTAGGAAGAGAAAAACAGCTTGCCAGTAAAATTGCTGAACTAGTTGAAGATAAATGCAAAATTCTTGAAAAACTCAGCCTTTGCAAGAAGGAGGTAATGGTCCTCATTTATTGCTTTCAGATGTGTCACAGAAATGGGCTTAATTTATCAAGTTTCAAGTATTAGATTTAGCTAAAAGTAAGATGTTCAGAAGCTTTGAAATGATTCTTCAAATGCTTTTTCCTGTCAGTGCCTTTAAGTGCAATTAAGATGTTAGCAAGTTCTGCCTTTAACTCTTAATATGATATATTTCACTGGAAGCAACTTTGGAATGTCTTTGTTTTATGCCACTGGGATAATATACTAGGTCTAAGGCTTTCCTGATTTCCAGCAAGATGCATTTGTGATTATTTGAGTGATGGCTATGTTTGAGACTAGAGCATCATAAATTAATGCATTATTTAAGGAATTCTTTACATACATTCTGACAAAGTATTTCCTTTTCAGTTTGAAGATTTAGAATTGTCTCTGAAGGATGATAATGTTATGAAAGAATCAACAGACACATCTTTTTTTGAGGTAAAAAAGATAAATGGAAATTGTTATTTCTACAATTTTAAGACAATAGGTCAGGAAAATGCTGCCCTTTTTTTTTTTTAAAAAAAAAAAAAAAACAACAAACAAACAGAAAAACAACCAAAAAAACCCCCCAAAAAACCCAAACAAGCAAACAAACCCCAAATCCACCAAAACAACAACAACAAAAAACCACCAACAAGAAAAACCCAAACCAAAATCCCCAAAACCTTAGTTTTTGAGAGCATTGTTATTTTAGTCCTGGGCTACTGAAAATTACATAGAAGTGAGGCATTTAAATTAAGAGAAGTTTTTGTAACAGCTGCATTAAAAATGATTGATACTAGAGCAAATGGCATATTAGACAATATTTAATTTTTCAAAAAGTAAATTGTTCGTGTTTCTAGGGGAGAGAGAGTAGTGCATGATAGATTTTTTTCTCAATTCTGATTTAATTCAAATATATTTTATAGTCTGCTGAGCACAGTTGTAAACAAAAATTACCACTGCATTGTTCATATCACCCAAACTCAGAATATATTTATAAAAGAGTTCTAAAAAAGTGAAGGAAATACCTAATGGGCTCTATAAAATTTATGTAATAAAAAACCCAAATAGATTCTTTCCTTCTGCCCTTCAGTTCCTGTAGAGCTAATTGTTACAGGTTCTGTTAGCATGTGAGAATCTTTAGAGTACTTTGAGATTTATCCTTCATAGGGTGAAATTTGTAAATGTATTTTTCTGTCATTTTAAAAATCTGCTTGTCTTCATGTGTCGTTAATGTTGAATGTGTTAACTGTCAAAACAACTTGATTTAGGAAATGCATGAAAAACTGAACAAGTCGAACTTGGAACTCAACCAAGAAATAGAGAGTCTAGAAAAAGAACTGGAAGAAGAAAAATCGAAGCAATCAGAAAATGATAACTTGGTAAGACTAAATAGAATCCTGTCTTTGTTACTATTCATTTAAAAAAAATTTTCCCCAAAAAAATTCTCCTTGGAGAAGACAAACTATTCTTTTTGGGTTTTTTAAGCCAAAACTACTGTTCCCGTTTTGTCTCCCCTCATGCTCCCTGTAGCATATTAGAAAAATGACACCCATAAAGGAAAATACTTAACAAAAGCTGATTTTACTGATTTGGCAGTAGAACCTTCTCAGTTTGAAAATTAAAGTAACTTTATTAATTGCCTAGACGTTTTCAGTCTAATCTGTGGAAGAAGCTGTATGACAACTAATAATTTTCAGGTGGCTGAAATTCAGAAGAGAGTGGAGTCTTTAGAGAATGAAGCAAAATCTATCCAGTCACAAATTGATGAGGTATGTCCAATCTTTATGGTATCTGTTTTCAAATCTTTGCAATTTCTCTATTCTCTATGTAGTTACTGTTTTATTTTTTTTCTTCTGTTAAGGGTGCAGAAATAATTTTCTGTGTAATCCAGAAGGTTTTGTAAGGGTTAGTGCTTCCGTGTGACTTGATTTAGCAACTTTGAATTTCATATAGTGATGGGCATTTATTGGGAAGTACAGTTACCTTATCTTTTCTTTGTCTTCTTATGCCACTATGATACGTAGTGTTGCAAAACT